TAATTTTATCAAATAAATGCAGCCTAAATAAATATTATTTTTCGGGTTTACTATATTTTATATTTATATATATTAGTACTTCTTATATTTTAACTATGTGCAAACGAAAGAAGAGTGCAGTCCAATATAAAAATGCATTTTAAATATAAATATTATAAATATTCAAATTAAATCTACATATAAATCATGAATATACAACTATCTAAATAATTACTATTGTTCAGTAAACATAGTCAAATATTTAAACATGAACCAAAACAGTATAGATTCCGCAATGGCATCTCTAATTTAAATAAAAGAAAGGAAAATATGTACTTACAAATCCACCTGCTTCCCTCAAAATTCTTTCTGGCAGCTTTCTTCGAAAATGTGCCTTAGATGTTGCAGGTATATCTAAAGTATGAATCCACAGCGCTGTGAAGGCTTCCGTCGCAGACTGGCTCCGCGCGCTACTGCGCTCTGCAGTGCACAAGCACAGAACGCGCGCAGAGCGTTTGATCAGTTGCCATAGGAACCTGCGAGGCGAAGCCTTCATGCTGATCATAGGCTCCAGATATCTGCGCAGAGACTGCAAACTTGTGGCGCCTCCCACATGCTACAGATTTTCTTCATTTTCGAGGCAAAATATCTCGCAGAATGTCCTACATATTTTGATGTTGACCATGTGAATACGGCAGGTCTCGTATGTGTAATATATTTATGTGTCACGTAAAACGAAATATTAAATTAGCCAAATGAAAGCATATGGATCATTCTCAAACTAATTTATTTTTGAGTTTATAAATAAGATTTTTCTCTTTTTGTTTAATCTTTATATGAGTCTATTAGACTGCAAGACAAATATTTTGTTTGCAGAATGCACGAGCACTGTCCTCTGACGCCCTCTAGTGATGTATCACATAAAGAGTTCTTTACTTAATTAAAACATCATTTACATTAAAACTTGAGTCATCATTTACTTATGTTCATGCCGTCAAAACCTGTATGGGTTTCTGTCTTCGGTGTAGAACAAAATGAGATGACAGAATATTAATTTTGGGGGTGAACTATTCTTAAAGGGAAAGTCCACTCAAAAAAAATTTAAATTCTGTCATCATTTACTCACCTTCAAGTTGTTGTTTTTTCCCCCGCATAAGTAAAGTAAGTATGGTGCAGAACGCTGCACCAAACACTTGCCGGTAGCCACTGACTTCCACAGAAGGGGAAAAAAAATACTATTGAAGTCAATGGCTACCAGCAACTGTTTGGTTACCAACTTTCTTCAAAGTAGTATCTATTTGAGTTCAACCGAAGAAAGAACCTCTTACAGGTTTGGAACAACTTGAGGGTTAGTAAATGACAGAATTTTTATTTTTAGGTGAACTATCCCTGTACTATGTATAATTTTAAGATTACCTGACTTTTTTATTTTTGATAAAAAGGAACAATTGTGGAAAAATTATGAAAAAAGAAGGGGGAAAAAACAACACTGAACTACAAGATAAACGTTAACAGAAAATGTTACAATTTTGCGGAGACTTGAAGGCATTTAATCATGTCAAAACAATACTATTACAACACTACATGCTACTACTATTAATAATACATAAATAAAAATAAAACAAAAGTAAAGGCAACTTTAATTTATTCAAATAATCAACTGCATACAATATATAGAATGATCAGCAATGAGATCAGAGGACGCTGTAAAGAGCTCAAACATGCTTCGAAAACATGCTGAATGAAATTGCGTGATTGTGACGGCATGCATTTATGTAACATCCCTGTAAACAGCCCTCTCAACAGTGCTCAAATGCAGTCGCTAGTATGATATGGATGCAAACATTTACTCTAGCCCTTCAAGAAATACTGGGCAGAAACAGTGAGAAATGATATTAAGAGGTTATAAATATACAGTACAGCATTCACTTTAATATACAATACACCTCTCTATTCAACGTACCGTTTGCAATGTCAGTCTTTGAGAAAGCGGCTGTACATAGGAAACGGAAAAATGCTGTCTTTGATTTCAGCTATAGTGAATTTAGCTCGTAGTTTTGATTGTACAGAAGAAGAAAACATGGTTATGGAGGCCTTCGCTAAACATGCATCATCTGAATTCTGCTAAACATTCTAATGTGCAAAGATAAATCTCCATTTTTTTTTTTTTTTTTCATTTTCCCTATAAATACTTAATCAAAAAAGGGGAATGGTGCTCCTCTGGTCCTGAATATATTATTTAAAGGTCATCAAAATCTGTTAAAATGTCCACTTACATATACAGTAGTGATATTGTATAACCAGCTTCGGTCGGTGCACATGCATATTTAAGTCAATATTACAAGATTCCTTCAATAATCAACATCCAACATACACAAGAGACCAACCGACCGACTTGCACAGTCCAGAACTGCACCACAATGTGAGATTTCTTATGCATAGTAATAGTACCTACACAAAAGATTCAAATGAAAAGTCTTAAAGACGGAGAAAGAAAATCACAGAAAACAAGTACTATAAAATACAGCAGAGTTTAACATGCAGGAAAACAAAAAAGTGGAAAAAACTAAAAAAGTAGAGAGTTGACCTATAGAGTTACAAGGTAAACCAACAACATACATTCAACCTACTTGTGCAGAAAAGACTCCCCTGATACATGGAAGCATGAGCTATGTTATTCATTTCAGTGGTGGAAAAGCACCATCACTCCGACGTTTTGAAACTACAGCTAAATAGAGCAAACAAACAAACAATCATAGAAACAAATTCAACACAGGAGATACATGACCGTATAGTGCACATTGAGAAAATCTCAACAGGGCTTTGGACTATTTTTGCTAACTTTAAAACTTAAAGCTTAAGCGAGTTACTATAGTTCTACACTGTCTAGAACAGCTTGTCTAAAACTTCCAATTCTACTTTATCTACAATTCTATCGTACCAAAAAACTCAACACATGTACTGATGATCTATGCTACAGTTATGAGTATGAAAATGTAAGGCATACATTTGTGTCAAAACAGACAAACATTGATTCCTTAAGTGAAAAGTCATGCATAGATTGCACAAAGTTATTGCATTTCCTTAAGAACTTCATAGAGTATGCGTCCTATATAGAAATGCCGATAACGCACTCACTCTGATCACGACGAAGTCGGAAATGCACTACTACATGGCATTTTGGTAATTCTACACAGGAAAAGGAAGTGAAATTACAGTAAGAAACTGTTAGCTTCATGATTAAAAGGGTCATGTTACATACAAGAAGAAGAACGGTCACAATGCCTATTGTGGCATTCCCTAAAGGTTATTTGTGCACTAAATAATTAACCTACTATTCAAAAACATGCTATGTACCTCTCTCATCTCTTGGTTTTGGGCTTTGTTGTTTAAAAAAAAAAAAGAGAGAGAGTTTCCAGGTTTGGTCCTGTTCACCATCTACAGCGCTGACATTATAATATAAACACAAAGTTATGTGATTTTATATATATAAACAAACACACACATACAAACTTATGTGCATTTTCCCTATATGACATCCTGAAGTATTTTACTTACTACATTTATACACATATCCTGACTGCAAATTTTAAGAATTTGAATAAAAAAATTATGTTTTTTTTATTATTTCACTTATTTTGCTTAAACAAACCTGATTTTGAGAAGAATTTCAGTTTAAGCTGAAATATCTGATGAAAGTCTTAGTTGCTTTTTTTTTCATTTATTTTTAAATTCAGTTCTGATAATCTAATGAGATCTGTAAAACTGCAATGAAGTCTCTCTAATCAATCAGTGATGGAAATCATAAATTTCTTCTTATAAGTACATTTTAGATGTAACTGTCAGCAATGTTGAAGAATTTTAAGTATTTAAAGCTATTTATTTCACGTGTTAACTTCTGTATAATTTGTTTAAACAAACCTGATTTCTGAGATTTTCAAGTTAAAAGATTTTTTGGATGACAGTCTGAGCTATTTTTTATTTGATCATTTTCAAATCATATCATGTCTCTCAAATTAACGAGGGATGGACAAGAAAGAAATCATACATCATACAAGAATTAAAAACTAGTTAAAGGTTATTGTCCGCAAATGTGCAAAGGCTATTTATTATTTTTTTTGCCTTGATTTTTATTTCTATATATTATTTATTTTATTTAAACCAAACAAACCTGATTTTCAAGATTTTTTTTGAGAATAAATTAATTTCTGATGAAAGCCTGAGCCATCTTTATTTTATTACGTTCAAATTCAGTTCTAATAATCTATAAGATCTGTAAAACTGCCACAAAGCAGCATGTCTTTTTAAGTAATGAGTGATGGACAAACCTAAGAAATTGTAAATTTTTCCCTAAAAAATTTTGTTTAGCCTCGCGGTGGCGCCCCTAGCTGAAGTAGAGGAGTAAAGCAGGAGAGTAGAAACACGCCGCGCACACAGAAAACAGGGAGAGACGGCTATCATGTCTCTCAAATTAACGAGGGATGGACAAGAAAGAAATCATACATCATACAAGAATTAAAAACTAGTTAAAGGTTATTGTCCGCAAATGTGCAAAGGCTATTTATTATTTTTTTTGCCTTGATTTTTATTTCTATATATTATTTATTTTATTTAAACCAAACAAACCTGATTTTCAAGATTTTTTTTGAGAATAAATTAATTTCTGATGAAAGCCTGAGCCATCTTTATTTTATTACGTTCAAATTCAGTTCTAATAATCTATAAGATCTGTAAAACTGCCACAAAGCAGCATGTCTTTTTAAGTAATGAGTGATGGACAAACCTAAGAAATTGTAAATTTTTCCCTAAAAAATTCTGTTTAGCCTCGCGGTGGCGCCCCTAGCTGAAGTAGAGGAGTAAAGCAGGAGAGTAGAAACAAGCCGCGCACACAGAAAACAGGTCCTGAGAGACGGCAGAGACCTGGGCAGACAGATACAGTGCATGCTGCTGTGGACTGTACAAATACATGCATGAGTGGGTGGGCACCCTCCACATTAACAACCCAACATGAGCTTCTTTCTTTTCTTCCTTCCTTCCATCTTCCTATCCACGCCCCAGCCCCAGGTCCATATCCTGGCCTTCCGGCAGCCACGACAGCCCCATCCTTGCGCATTTCGCCCGGGCAAAACACCCACAACTATCAGGAAAGAACTTCATCCTCGCCCACGAAGGGCAGGTCCATACTCCGCATGCCTTCCTCGCTCTCTTGTTTCCTAGGAAACAGACAAATGTGGAGATTTAAAATAACCGCACATTCCAGGCGTGTCAACCTGTCTATGGCAATGCAGACTGTTGTTAAGTGTGGCTAGAATTGTTAGGCAGCGGGGAAATTAAGTTAGCACGAGGGGGGGGCGAGGTACATGGCATCGCATCAGTCATATGCTCGGGTTGGAAGGAGGCACATGAGAGTGACTGACTACCATGTTTTTGCGAGGGGTTGTACTGGGAAGGCCAGGACTGCGCACCACATGCAAAATGCACCCAAGTCCAACAAACCAATCAGAGTCCTGGTAAATAAAAAAAAATGACCATGGCTGGGCGGCAAATCAGGATGCTCCTCTCCTTTTTTGTTGCTGACATTATGAATGAGGGGCATGCAGATATAGAAGGACCTGGAAAACATCATCCTGAACTGCCCATGAACTTACAGGACATAAATGAACTTGTTTTATCTGTTAAACATTACATGCAAAATATGCTTGATGTACTAAGGGTTGATTATTAAAAGTAGCTTGTACAGCTACTAAGGTTCTTTAAGAGGGAATATCATGAATATTTTAAATATTACATGCATAAAATGATGTTTATTAGGTAGGAAAACACAAGCGGAAAAGCTTGTTATTCTTTAAGCCATCTGAATGATAGTTTTGAGCATGCTAAAAAACACCACACCATTCCTTTTAAGTGCAGATCATTCAAAATGGGCATGACCATTATCTCCTACATATAATATAGGTGGAGGAGAGTGAACAGGACATAGGTGGAGCGCTAACAGGCTAGCGGAGCTTTACCTGGGGGTACTGAGATTGCGGCAGTATTTCAAACTCCCTGCTCTCCCTTTTCTAGATGGCAGGAGAGATGCGGATACGTGAGAATTCTTAAATCGGAGCGTTTCTATCAAATATTCCTGAAAACATGACTAAACAAGAGCCTTAAAGGAATATTTCATGCTAAATATAACTCAAATATGCAAATGATTACCACAGAAAATTATTTATGCTTGTCCCTTGGTTTCTGAAAATCAACAAAAAAGTAGGTTAAAGGGACAGTTCACTCAAAAATGAAAATTCTACTCACCCTCATGTCATTCCAAACTTGTATGAATTTCTTTCTTCTGTTGAGTACAAAAGAAGGTATTTTGAAGAATGTTGGTAACCAAACAGTTGACGGAAGCCACTGACTTCCATAGTATGGAAAGAAAATACTGTGGAAGTCAATGGCTAAGTAAAGTAAGAATTTTCATTTTTGGGTAAACTGTCCCTTTAACAATCTTAGCAAGCTATTATTATAAGATATTGTTACTTTGCTAGGTAGTAATCAACCTAGCAAAGCACTGCAATGAAAGCTTCAACATAGCAGCAAAGGGGGCACTCATGAGTCATAAAATGATAAAAAAACGACTATAGCTTTGTTCAAATATGCATACTTTCCCACTATGTAGTAGACGAGAAACAGTGATGTCTGAATTCACAGCATTCATTAGACATTATGCGAAAAGTACCCAAATGACCTACTACTTCCAATGTATCTGATCACTTTACAATCCCATGAGGCACCTGCAGAGGATTTGTGAATGGCAGTGAAGCGACGACAGCAATGACAACCTGGCAGATGTAGTACGTCTGGATTTCATTCATATTACACACACTCATATTATATAGAACATTAGTTTTTAAGTAAGTTCATTTAGTCATTTACATTTAGTCATTTAGCAGACGCTTTTATCCAAAGCGACTTACAATTAGGACAACAGAAGCAATCAAAACCAACAAAAGATCAATTCATAAGTTGATGTTCAAAAATTCAAAAGTTCATATTCAAATGCAGTCCCTTATCGGACAGTATGGTCTTGTGGACTTTATGGACACACACAAGTGAAGAACACAAGTCCACATTAAGTATGCCTTTTGGAACAAGGCCTTTAACATCTTGAGTAAAGTATTTTAGCTTAGCAGGCTAATCGGTTAGCTTGGTAACTGTAAACTAAATGAAAACAAAATAAACATGTTTAATGTGACCATTCTTAGCTTTGGCTTCATAATGCAATGTGTGATGTATAAGTTCAAGAACATGAATTTATTAATCGACAGAGATGCATTATATTAGAATTTTAGTAAATTAGCAAATCACTGGATTAAACGTCACCCACAGAAAATGTTAGACGCACACAAAGAGTTAATTCACCAAGAAATGTAGTCTCATCTCAAAAGATAATTTAGACAACTTAAGAGGTTAAATAACACATTTTAATGAAGGTTTAGAGTGTTAAAGGGGTGGTTAATTGCGATTTCACTTTTTTAATGTTAGTTAGTGTGTAATGTTGCTGTTTGAGCATAAACAATATCTGCAAAGTTACGAAGCTGAAAGTTCAATGCAAACGGAGATATCATCTTTTAAAATTCTGGCAGTTTAATGCCTACAAAAACGACTGGTAAGGGACTACAACGAGTTACTTCCCAGGTCCGTTACGTCAAGAACCCAGAATTTTACATAAACCCCGCCTCCGGGAACACGCAGCAAAGGGGGCAGGGCCATGCTGCGCTGCTTTAGAGAAGAGGAAGAGAAAACTAGGGGTGCACGTAAAAATCTATTCATATATGAATCGCGATTCTGTCTTCTAACGATTCTAATGGATTCACAAGTTTCAAAATGTTCTAAAGCAGCAGTTCTTAATACTGTTCCTGGCCGCATTAACACATGTTAGACTGCACCTCATAAACACAATCAAGCCTATAAAAAAAACAGTCAACCACCCCTTTAAAAAACATTCCAAAGTTTGTAAGTCAGTACGATTTTTTGTACCGTTCACTTTTGCTCCAAGGCTGCATTTATTTGATCAAAAGTAGAGTAGAACAGTGACATTTGTGAGATATCACAATTTAAAAGAGGCGTTTTCTATTTTAATATATTTTATATATTTTAAAATGTTTTCAGTGTTACATGATCCTTCAGAAATCATTCTAATATGCTGATTTGCTGCACAATAAATATTTTTTATTATCAATATCGAAAACAGTTGAGCTGTTAAAGTGAGATACATTTATTTGGAATCAAAATCTTTTTAAAAGTATTAATAAAAGGACAGAAACTAGTCAAAATTATTTTCTGTGGAAATGTTGCATAGACATTAAGCTCTATTTTACCTGAAAATACACTTAAGCTCTATGCTTATCATATTACAGTATAACCTAGTGTAGTTAAATAGCACAGAGTAATTAAATTACTGTCAAACAAGCTAGGCAAACCATTTAAAATGTCTGTGACCACTGAAACCACTCCAGAGTTCCAAGTCTATGTTCAGGAAGTTTGTTCCAGTTATAGCCCATCCCTAATGAGGAAGACTTACGATAGCGTGTGTCCTGGTGCGGCGGGACTCCTGTCTTCCCTGCGGCCCCAATCAAACGGGTTCCCAAAAGAACGCTTGCGCAGCATAGTCCTAACCAAGATCTGTAGCAGAGAGCATGCAGCAAGAATAAGAACTCCAAAAACAGGTGTTGGGCTGTAATCTGTGTGGGTCATTAATCTGTTTATTCATTTGATGAGGTTATTAGCATTGAATACATTATGTGTGTTCATAAAAACAGAATTAGGGTTGTCTAAATAGGCCACCAGGGGCTTGCAATCTCACCACGGTGGCCAGGCTGGGGATGTGCTTGACAGAGTTTTCCACCTCCTCCTCTGTCACTTCTATCAGGCTGCAGCAGTTGTCGTCCTCAGGGGGGAGGGGCTCAGCGCCGTGCCGCGTCACCCATGGTTGCACCTACAACAACAACAACGGAACAGAAATCTTGCTTTGATATCATTAATTAACTCAAGACTCTGTCTAGGCAGCTGGAGTGTCCTATATTCACACAGGAAGTGCTTTGAAATCATCTTTTAAGAATAAGGAATGGTTTTATTTTTGGTCCATTTCAAGTATGGAGGCTAATTATAACATAAGAAAAAATACACTACCATGTACAAACAATTTGGGGTCAGTGAGATTTTTTTCTTGAAAGAAATGATTACTTCTATTTGGCAAGAATGCATCAAGTCGATCAAAAGTGGAAGTAAATATATTTTTTTTACAAAAGATTTTTTTATGTCAAATAAATGCAGTTCTTTTGAACTTCCCATTCATCAAAGAATCCTGAAAAAAAGTATCACAGTTTAAAAAAATATATATTAAAGGAACACTCAACTATTTTTGAAAACTATTTTCCAACTCCCCTAGAGTTAAACAGTTGAGTTTTACCGTTTTCGATTCCATTCAGCCCGGGTCTGGCGGTAGCACTTTTAGCTGTAACTTAGCATAGATCATTGAATCTGATTAGACCGTTAGCATCTCGCTCAAAAAT